GTTGACATGTCTTTGTTTGTTAATAACTTCAACTTCAAAAGAAGATGAAATATTTTTATCTTCAGACATGAGCATTGATTTATTAATGAGAATTCAAGAATGGCGCAATACTATAGATCCAAATATCTGGTCTAAGTCTACGTTTGTCCAAATTCATATTTTAATTGCAAAATTGTTATATCCTCTTGTAATTACTATACAAGAACTTCATGGAAGTCATTGGAACTTTATTTTTGAACTCCTTCAATATTGGCTACAAGTATGTTTACAATTTAAATGCTTACAATTTTAAATAATTCAAATACATATGTCTACAATCTTAAAATTATTGAATTCAATTTATATTAATATTTACTTTTAGGAAACTTCTCGGTTAGAACTTTTCTATGAAGCAATTCACATATTTTGCCGATTAAATAACATAGCCGCGTATTCTACTAATAAAATTGACGTTTACGTCGTATGTTTTCCTTAAGCACAAATTTATCATTTTCGAAAAAATTATCTTATTACTTACGTTTTATGTATATATTTTGCAGGATGATTCTGCAGAAGATGCTGTCTGTAATTTGTCTTCTAAGCTAATTACCTATAAACCTTTACTTTATCAGCAACTATCTTTATTATTTTTCAGAGAAAAAGGTTTAATGATATTCCTTTTTACAAGACTTGTGTTCGGATGTCACCTCCTACTTATTTATATTTATTTTTATAGTTCATCAGGATGACATTTTATCATATCAATACTGCGAATATTTGGAAATTTTATGTGAAGCATGTCATGATTTGCCGAAAGAAACTCTTTTGAATAAAAAGGACGAGGTGTGTTATTATAAATTGTTTTTTTGTTTATTATGTCAAAATCATTAATCTGCCTTATTATTATCTTTCTAGCTTTATGCCTTGTTACTTGTTCCTCATGAGGGAATTCAAAAATGTGCATACAAGCTCTCACATGGTTTGGTCAGCGAAAAAGCATTAAGGTTGTCTGAAGAATTAGAACTTCTCGGTACTTCGGGTAAATCTGCTTTTAATAGTATGGTAACTGCTTTATCAATTTTATTGAATATTCGAGTTTTCTTTTATATAGATGAGTCGATTTCCGTGCAATTGGATCAGGGTTTGAAGACCTTGCTCATCGAAATGCAAAGTGGCCATTTAAATTTAATACATACATCAAATCCCAACTCTTTTGTACGCCTCATACATTTCTTCTGATATTGTTTCAGTCATTTACATCAGATTCCTGACACATTCTTTGCTTTTAGGTTGTACATAAGACATTTGGATATTTACTTG